AACTAGACAGAGATGACTAAGAAAATGAAGTATAAAATATATTAATTTTTGAAATACAGAATCCTCCAAGTTTCAGTCTCCAATTAACTTTGAACGTCACCCAGTGATCTATAGCAAGTATTATGTGTTAATCTAACACAAGGGAAGGGAAGGGAAGGGAAGGGAAGGGAAGGGAAGGGAAGCATTTACCGGTGTGTTCAGGATCACCAGGCACTGATCAAAATGGTGATGCTCCATTATTGAGTGACAATACAGTGGTGCAAGGGAAGGGAAGGGGAGCGGAGGGGAGGGAGGGGGAGGGAGATTGTGTCTTGCATAAATGAGAAAGGAAACTTGAATGGGATCCAAGTATAAAAAGCTGGACAAGTAGTAAGACATACTAGGATATTACTTTTCTCCCATATGACCTGGCTAGGGAGAAAAATGTATCCTGTTTTCTAAGTTGCCTAGCAAAGCTGATAAATTCCCCATTTCTATGAACAGAAAGAGGAATATATAAGGTATGTCTGTATAAATAATAGTCTAAATAATAGTATCATATTTATAGCCACACTGTTGTTATTGTTATTAGAAAAGTTTCATGTTTAGAAAATGTTCACAGCTCTTTCCATCAGTCTTTCTTGCAATCTTATCAGGAATATCTGACTGATCTCTGTAGACTTCTTGGCTAGAAGAACATTGGGATATGATCCAATAAACCAGCCTACAATGCTCTCTAAATGCACTAAGACAACAACTCCCACGAATTCCTAGCGATGATGGATGAAATTCTGGGAGATGCCCCAATCCATCTGGAGGGAGTCAGGCAGAAAAGACAGTGGTAAATTCATTTTTATCTACTCTATTTTCTTAGAGATGAGATTGGAAGAAAAGGGGAAACTTATGTCTGCAAACAGATTTTTCAAATAAAATCCATTCCATGTTTTTTTTATTATGAATTAGCTTTCTATTTTGCTTTATTTTGCTTTTTTTTTAATTACAAATTTATTTCTAATTTTGAGGCAGATATTCTCAGTTTTCTAGTTCTCACAAAACCATTGATCTTTATTTTGATTTATTTGTACTAGCTCAAGGGCTTTAAAAATATTCCTGGAAACATTTTTGTAGCATTTTAATTGAATTTTTGAAAATAAAATGCCATGAAAATGTAATGTGTCTTGCACTTTTCTAGATACTTTCCTGAAAAGGATCTATTCCCTAACAAATACAATAAAAATCCAACTGGTTCCAATCAGATCTTCAGACCGATAGCTATCCATGAAAGTGGAGCAGAGAGATAAGACAGAACTCTTCTTTTTATACGATGACAAGTGTTCTTTCTACCCTTATACTTCGTTTTTACAGAAAGTTCCAAAAGGTACATATCATGCTTTAAATACTGGCCATTGGATATTGCATGAGAAGGAGGACACCTTTTTATAATAACTTGTAAAGCTATAATGTTTCGGAAAATATTACTTTTTTGACCTAAACAATGGCAACTGTAAATGTTTGGACTTCACCAATAATTATCTTCCCTCCCCCATCTGATAGCAATTGCCACCAATTGCCTGTGGAACAGGAGGAAGGGAGGCAGAAGACCTCCAGAAGCCTATAGGTCCGGTTTCTCTCCTTTCCCTTGCCCCAGGATCATTATAACCAATTGTCCTGTGGGAAGGATTTCTGGAGGGAGGAATTGAGCTAGAGATCATTGAGAAACCTACTTAGTCGGACTCTCCTTTCTCTTTATGCCACCAGGATATTGCTACCAACTGACTTGTGAGAAAGATCCTGATGTTTGTTATTAGGTAATATTTTTGTATTTGCATTTAAGATAGTTTAGATGACTTGTTTTTTAAAAAATAAAGTATAACCCACTCATCCAAACAATAAAACCCTGAAAACTCCAGTTCCACCTATAGGAAACCCTCCTACTTTACATGATCTATCATCTCATCTACTTTGCATAAGTGTTCTGCCACTGCAGTTCTCATCATCCAAAATAATTTAAATCTGGTCCCTGGACACCAAAACATTTCCTGCTTTTGCTTTAAAACATCCTTGACAAATACCTACTCAGCATCCCTGAAAACCTTCAGAGAAGATTCCACAATCTCTCTAGTTAAAACGTGTCTAAAAGTTATGACTGAAATGTTAATTTGAAATGAAAAACAGAAATATCAAACCGCAATGTGCTTTCCTTTTAACTCCCATATACTCACCTCTGTATGTAAGAATTATTCACTCCCCTGTGATCTAAATCATGGCTCAGAGCTGCAATCAGCAAAGAGAGTACTTCAACATCAGTAAGCTTGTTCTGTACAATATGAAAGAGAGAGAGAGATAAATGATTATATTTGCAAAACTGCTTGACCTGGTACCAATGTGTTACACATTATTTGCTTTCTTACTTACTTTGGCTGTTTTGAATGCCTATACAGTTTGACATGCTCACTTAGAAAGTAAATAGATTTATAAATATGACTATTTTTGTTGAGTAAAAATAATACTTTTAATCTTAACACATGTATTACAAATTTTAGTGTGTTCTGTATTTTAGCACAGAGTCTGGAAAGTAGCCCCCAAAATAATCAACATCCAATTTTGTATTGTATAAAATTTTACATTTGAATGGTCTTTTTCTCATTGGTTACAAATCCAACCAATATTTAAAATAGCTTACCTTATTCCAATCATACTAAGTTTTCTACTCTTAGTTATGCAACCCTGCCTCTGTTATGATCCAAATTCACTTGGGCCAAATTTGGAAGACCCAATTAAACATATGCAAACAGCAAAGGCTCCAGAGCTTGGTAGATGGAGAACTTTGATTTGCTTTTGGCTCTCCTGAGCTGTACCTGTTTCACAGGCTTCTAATTCCACGTAGAGTTGAACTATAGTTTCTGTATAAGGATTTCTACTTGTTTGCTTAATCACAAGCTGAACAGCATTCCATATACAGTGTAAATATCTAATACTTTTAGAATAGGGCAACTGACATCAGAATAGCCATCTGAAACCGAAACACTGATTTACATAGACTTTTAAGCAGGCAACCTGAAGCCTCCAGGGTACACGAGGTGACAGAGACTTCTTTTTGCCTGGATTCCATGGCAACTATTGCAAGTCAGCAGCACAGCTACCTCCCATTTTGAGGCAGTTTTTGCAAGTCCTAAAATATGCTTACAGTATTTGAAAACAAATAATGAAAACTAATCTCATCCTCACAAATGCTTTGAACTGTAGTGCTGGAGGAAACTGTTGAGAGTTCCTTGGATAGTGAGAACGAATAATTCAGCACTAGTTACAGTAAAAGCAACTGCACACTGGAAGCATTAATAAGTTAAAGTTTAGCGATTTTGGAAACATAATATAAAGGCAAGAGAAGGCCCTGATGCTTGGAAAAATCAAAGCCAATTGACAAAGAGTCTGACAAAAGACAAGGTGGGTAGATATTATCACTGATGTCTCAAGCATGAGTTTATATAAGAACTAAAGAAACCAGAAAATGGAAGCAATGGAACAAGAACTATTTCACTCCTCAAAAAAAATCAGGAAAAAAAAAATCTGGGGTTTGTCTATATGTATGACACTAGACTGACCATCTTAGCAGTTTTAGAACCTGGTCACCAAAAAGTTCCAGTAGTAATGTATGGCTGTGAGAGCTGGACCATAAAGAAGGCTGAGCGCC